CAGTCAGGTGCAAAAGATTCACTTTCATAGAGGAGATACAGTACCAAAAGAAAGACAGTTCATTGACAACAGTGACGAGAACTGCAAAACTTCCCGGTAACTTCTGAAATGATGTTAACTGCAACTTGATTCTGGTGGTAGCCCTGCTGTGGAAAGCCGTGTGGATTTCCCAAAACACTGAAGAAGCTGCATCCATATTGTTGACTCAAGGTGAAACTACACCTCGTGTTTGATCTGAGTAGACCACAAAGGTTTAGACCAAATAAGTTCAACTTATTGTTATGGACTTATTATGAATGAAACTGAAATGTAATTTAGCATTCATTTAAATATTTTTTTCTGGCAGCTTTCAAACCAATTATTTAAAAAAAAATTAAATAACATAAATACAAATAAAAAAGCTGTCAGAAAAAATGGAAATGCTGCAACAAAAATATGAACCTTGACTGGACTTTAAGGTGTGAAAAAGCCAAAATATTTACGATAAACTTTATGTATGTTGTACATCACCACAAACACAGCTTCACTAACAATACCCAAAGGCAACAAACAGCCAATCCCCTTTGAATGCAGTTCACTGACTTGCCACTTGAGGCTGGTTCCAAAAGCAGGTCAGTCCTGACAGATTCCCATGCTGAAACTCCCAAACTTTAGCCATAAAAATGCCTGCGTTTTCACACTAGTGCTGTTTTCCCCCTACTTAACAACTAGTACTGGCAGGGATTTACTTTTATGTTTTTAAGTCTTACAATTTGGTGCACAGCTACCAGTTATCAGGCGCCTATGTCTTAGCTTTGCTCCTTCACAGTTTATAGATACAAATTGCTAACCAAGCTTGTTTGACTGTTATGTTGGCTCTGAACACTTTTGTCTAAATATTGACACTTCAAAATGTGGAGTCCATACACATTAGTTGAGGTCATGGTGGCTCTCTCTCTTTTATATAAAGTTTATTGTCCATGTGTAGTCACACTCACTGTTGCTTCCTGTTGCGATGAAGGCAGCAGCAGTAAAGAACACGGTGAAGAGCATGTCACAGCGGAAGAGAAACCACCGCAGAACAGACAGGTAGTGGAACCAGGCGGCCGTGTGAGTGTTCAAAGCCTTGTGGAAAAGTGTCTCAAAGTAGGTCTGGCGCTCAAATGCCCGAATTGTCCATAAACCCTTTAGTGAGAGGATGAGATGGGAGAAGATCGGGGTACGAGCTGCAAGAAAAGAAAAAAGAAAAGACTTTAAAACTCTTAATGTATAAGCACTTACTTTGTAAAACAATCCCTGCATTACATATCAGATATCAGACTGACAAATAAAAAAAACTGCTAACTAAATTTCTAAAAGGTCATTTAATTTCACTACTTGGTACCTTTTAGTTAGGTAACACTTCTGAACTAGAAAACTACAATACATATAAATTCATTAAACAAGAATCAACCTGGAAAAGTTATACTTTAGCAGCAACCCCTTCTTTGCACATCTTATGTCTTTATGGTCACAATAATTTCTTCAAGATTAAAATTCAATGGCCATGTCTGACTAATATAAACAGAGCATAATTTCCACTGTAATTTGTCCCTGTGAATCCAGTGGGTAAAACACCAGGATGGGCTTGGAGGAAATCCCAGCTCAGCTCATTTCTCTGACCCCAGTGAGCTCTCAGCAGCTCCGGAAACATCTCAGCGTCATCACTGAAACACATATTCAGTGACAGAATCGAGGGCACAGCAGAGAGGCCCAAAAAACAGAGCGGCAACATCGTCAGCAGCTTCCTCATCCTCTGACTGTACAAACCTCCTTTCTTCTGCTCTGTCGGCCTTTAGCAACAGTGCAGTTCTTCAACTTATGACCACTAAACTAAAATGAATTTATATGTATCGTGTTGTATTGTAAGTCTCTATATTAGATACTAATTGTAAACATTTTAAACCCATTACATTTCTATTACATAGAAGTTTTGAAAGTGACCTTTACTTAAGTGCACTTAATGAGGTTGTTGATGACACAATATCTACTGTTCATGTGTGCATTAAACTGAAGCTAAAGATGGACAGCCGCCACTAGCAACACAGTACATGATGAAAATGTACTGTACTGTAATATGAAGACAACAAACAGATTTCTCTGTTACATTTATTACAAGCATCTGACTTTGAGAGAAAGTGTAGTAAATAAAGACAGACTCCTGTAGATTTGACCTCTGTAAGCCCCACGAGACTGTAATGATTATAAATGATTAAAATTACACTGCTTTGAAAATCTTCACTAATATAAACACTTTCATTATTCAGCAGGTAGGCTTGATTTTTAAAGCCAAAAGCCAACAATCTTTTCTGATGTCTTGAGGAGCTCAAAGGAAAACAACCAAATATGAACGTTATCCAAGTCTCAATACTGGAAGAAAACTGTTCCTCTCTTTCTGAGACACCCTGTCCTCTGACTCAACCCTTCCTCTCTCATGTTTTCATGTTTCAGTGACTTTTGGCCCCTAAGCCATCTGCCAGCTTTGCCCACCGATTGTGGTTCCTTCTCAGAGGAAGCATCCCTCTTCCTCTGTTCTCAGTATTGGTTTTCCTATTATGTTCTCACTTTTACTGATATATGTCACTACTCACTTTCATTTCTCTACTCTTTTCTGAGCCCATTTTCCCTCCCCTCAAAAAGAAAAGAAAAACTCATCTTCAGGATTAAAGTCTGCAAGAGCCAGAGCTAAAGAACAGCACCCAGACATATGCCTAATAATACATCACATACAAAGCAGTAAGAACTATTTAAATAATACCATTCTGCTTTATGAAGAAGCAACGGTTTTTTCTCATTTTTTCTAGCCTCTTTTCTGACATAGGTTATTTAGACAATTTATCTCGAAAGATATTTAAACATATTATTAAACTACAGCAAATTTCTTTCCCCCCCCCTTTCTACATTTTACATTTACTGCTGGAGTCACTAAAACCTAAAACCACTATCATCTCTAACGGCCAACAACTCTCCAATGCTCACCTTCAGCCTCCAGGACTTTGAGTTGCTGTCCAGTTCGTAGAAAGTACTTCCTGAGGAAAACATAGATAAAAGCCAATGGGAGAGCAGCAATGAAGATGTATGGCTCTATGATGGACACAGTGAAGATGGCACCGGCGACGATCAATGACACCTGGTGTTGGGAAAATATGTTAATAACAGATATGAGCAGACTTATTATTATTTGGTATTTCTGGCTTTAAAAAAAGATGTTTTTCAGTTTCCCTGTTCTTATTCTCACTGCATGTTTTCATTTTGTTTTTAATCATTTCTTTCTTTTTTATTATAATATGATTGTAAAACTTTTACAGAGGAATAAAAAACATTGTCCAATTTCTCCAGGGCAAGATTCAAAGAGTTAAAGGATAAATTGAGGAAATTGAATTTTGAAATTGAATTGTCATTTATTTATTTATTCTGCTTACAATTGCACCCCAGTAATCAATTTACAATGAAGAAAGAGGGAATATTTGTCGCAGTAGTTTTCAGTCACTTTTTGCAGTTCCAAAAACTCTGCATCATCATCCACAGTATTGGATAAATACCTGTATGAGGTCAAAAAGCACCAATGGCAGCATGTCATCTATGATGGCCATGTCCTTGGTGAACCTGTTCACGATCCTGGCTGAAAGAGGACAGCGAAAGTATGAAGGTGTTGTAGTAAAGGAAGATATTAATAATCAGCATTGATAATCAGATTTTGTTCTACAGGGATTCTCTACCATCATTCATTTATTTAGTGACATCATCTAGGCCATTAACCAGTAAAAATCTGTTTTACTCAAAAAGTAAAAAAGCAAAGCACCTGTTTTTATCGTGTTGAGCACAGACATGGGGGCTCGCAGCACAGAGCTAAGCATCTGTTCATGCAGTCTTTTGGACACAGTCAGTAATGTATGCACTAAAGGGAGACCCCTGAAGAATCCCAGGGCCAGAATACTGTCCGCATGGGCTACAAAGATGTAGATGATGTAATAAGCACTGGTGGGTGTCATAATAACACCGAGATGGCCAGGCGGCGACGATGCATTGGGGTGCTGCTCATCAATATAGTTGGGCGATGAAGGATTGGCGGCGTCCCTCCAGACCTCACTGTTGGATGTGAGGAATGTATAATAAATGTTACATGGAGCAATTCTTCATTATAGAATAGATCACAAAATTACCTTTTAGTGATTTCTGCATAATTGTGACCTCTAAATGTAAATTACTGATGTTAATAAACAGATATTTTTATTGCTCACTTTTGGTTACTCTCATTTACTCTCATTTACACGATTAAATAGATCATGATAGAGAAAATTACACTTATAGTACTTTTTTTCAACTCGATTTACATGAACAGAGCTAATTCGTCGTCCCTCACTGTAACCGAAAAATGGACGGCTTTGTCTTTGTCTAGTAATTAACATGTAACAAATAAACAATTAAATAAACAAATAAACACAAAAAATAAGTACATTTAAACCTACTGTCACATTTAAAATCAGCCGCCAGTGAAAAATAAGAAAAGTGAAAAGAAATATAAGACCTAAACACAAGTTCACTTAGAGCCATTTGACATGGATTTGATCAGAGGGTGAACTTCTGATCCATGTGGATATCTATGTGCTAGTTTTTTATTTCTTCAAGCCAACACACTACAGCGCAACAGCCATGCATGTGTCCCCTACTCGTTAGCATGTGAATGTGCACAGCGAAAGAAATCGTCCAAGGACCACCCTTATAAGCCTCGGACATCTCTGATAAATTGATTCGAAGTTCCTATTTGATGATGCTGGAAGGAATAAATGACACAATCTGCTTGTTTTGTCACCATATGTTGGGTGGCTGTAGCACAGGTGGTAGAACAGGTCATCTTCTGACCGGAAGGCTGGTGGTTCAAACCCTGCCTGTCTGCATGCCAAATATCCTTGGGCAAAACTACTAGCCCCAGGTTCTCTCTGATGCAGCCATCAAAGTGTGAATATGTGTGAATGTTAGTTAGTAACTTAAAAAACAGCATAGAAAAGAGTCCTTGTGTGAATGTGGGATGTTAAGTGCCTCAGGAGAGTAGAAAAGCACTATATAAGAATCAGTCTGTTTACTGTATACATGGGCCCCATTTGTGTAAATGTACTTTTAACCATAGTACTCAAGTTTATGATTTACAACAAATTATTTTGTCCACCTGGCTATAGATTGGGAGCCAGTGGAAAACCAGTGATTTACAGTAAGGTCTGTAAATACTATTTAAATAGTATTTACAGTTAACATGATCAGAAAGCTCAGAGCACACTAGCTGACTATCCAAAGACAAAGAGAAGAATCATAATCATTTTCTGTTTAAGGCAACATGAAACATGAGACTTACTCAGTAATAAGAAAAATACCGAGGACAGAGCCAGCAACCTATTTGTGAAAAGAAAACAAAATGCCGTTAATTAAATTCACACAATAACACAAAAACCCCAAATCTTTGATTTTTACCTCAATGACAGAGACAATGAAGATGAAAATGAGGACGTAGACTAAGTTCCTGTTGGTGTTTACGTAGCGTAGGTAAGTGTTCCATGAGGTAGTTTCAAAGACATTTTTGTCACGTTCATCTGCAAAACATTGCTGTCAAGAAACAGGATAGATGGGTTTTAACCATGTGGCTCACTTAACAATAATTTCTTGATTTTGGTACATAGCACAGTTTGTGAAAATATTTTTACATAATCATTTTCAGAGACATAAGAGGATAATATGTTAAAAAGCCTTACCTCCATGTCTTCTTCATCCACATCTTCACTAATGTCATAAACACTGTCCTTGGACAGGCGGCGGGAGTAAATGTCCAGGTCTGATGCAAGGCTGTACTGCGGTGTGATGGAGAGCTTTTTCCTGAAAGATGACTGCATCTGCTCTCTGCGCTCTTGGCCGCGAGCACTGGTGATGAACTCCAAGACAGACTGGCGCCGCTGCCCGCTAAGGTGCTGAAACTCATCATGGTACAGGTTACTCCTCGGAAGTGCCTCCTCTATTTGTTCATCTTCAGGCACTACAGAGAATCTTCTCTCTGGGAGTTCATCAGACCTGTCTTCCACTGTTGTGTTTCCGGTTTGTTGAGAATTCCCAATGAAGGAGAACTTGCGGGCAGCTGCCAGAGGATTAAGGATGAGTGACTGCTTGCGTTTTTCAGGGTAGCCATCACCTAGAGGATGGCTTTGAGCTGGTGCATGACGGAAGGACTGACGAATTTGCTCTGGGCCACGGAAACCAGCGGTTTCATCAACTGAAACCCTGCGAAGAGTTTCTGTGAGAATGGATCCACGCCGCTCAGCATTGACGTTGTCATAAGCCTCAAGACCAAGAAGCAGGGAGCTGAAGTCTGGACGCTTGGCCTGCAGCTCTGAGAAGGTGCCATAGAAGTAACAATCTCCATTGTGCAGCAGAAGGATTTTGTCTGCACGCTTGAGATGCTCCAACTTGCTGGTTACTACGACACGAGTCTTGGAGGCCATAAGTTTACAGATGCAGCTGTGTGTGGATAAAAATGCACACTTTAAAAAAAAGTCTGACAAAGAAGGGCTTATTTCTTTCTAACAAATGCAGAATAGAAATTATAATTACCAGAAACTATAAATATCGAGCTAGTGATATGGATATTTATATGAATGTGTATTTATATATACAGACATTATAAGAGTGTATATATAAATACATTTCACAAGTTTACAAGCAATTTTGTCTGCTTTTCCAAAATGGAAGCTAACCAAAGACCATCCAAGCATAAAAGCGTTACTCTATAAAAAGAAAAAAGAAAGAAACACATTTCCTGAGAAGGTTACATTGTTATAAAGCAGTTATGACTCCCAAAAGAAAAGAGCATTTTCAGAGACACCAAGCGTTAACCTTGACTTTGAGGTCAATTTTTAGCACCCCGACCTCCTCTACATGAAAGACTCTCTGTTATCACACGCACTTTTCAAAGATCTCTTTTTCTGTAGCGATGTCCAGGTGGGTGAAAGGCGCATCCAGGAGGTAGAGGTCTGCATCTTTATACACAGCCCTGAGAGAGAAACACACATATTAGGTCACAGATAACAAGGAAGGTAAAGAAAATGTTCCAATTTGCTTTAAAAACAAAACAAAAAAGCAAACAAACAAAATTAGAGAAAATATAAGATGCAGAAAGGCAAAGAAGAGAAGCTGGAATATATCAGCCACAGTGAATAGCTATGTTGATAGCAGAAGTTAAAAAAGTCAAGGAGTGGCTGCAAATTAACGTTAGCACACTAAACCAATAAATAATGCAGGGGAACATGAGAGTTTCTGGCTGATCCACAGAGATTTAAAAAAGCAATAAAGCTCGGGCTGTAAAAGCCACGGAAACCATAAAAAGCAGACAGCAACACACACATGAGTGATCTGTGACCCTGAGCAGCTTCTGATTAAGTACACTGATATTTATTCTTTTTGCTGGACACATATACTGTAGCTAGAGGGTTATTTTAATGTCCTTAATGTTTTATGATATTTCTTTTATGTAACCTGTTGCTATGGAAGTGCTACAGCGATGATGTAGAATTTACAGAAGAAACACACAAGTTGATACAAAAAAAGAACCAAAATCCTAACTAATGAGCAAAGGTAGTCTGTGCTGACAGACAAACAAGAGTGAATGAGGCCTGCTGACAGATGCTCAGGTGTGACAGAAACTACCTGGCAAGGCAGAGACGAGCTCGTTGACCACCACTGAGGGTCCCCCCTCCATCGATAAGATACGTCTTGTCTTTCTCGGGGAGCAAAGCGAAGTCCTGGAGAGGAAAACAGGGAAAGAGTGGGTATAACACATTAGACTGGCACATAAATACCTCAACTTCCTTGTTTTTATCCTCTGGATTTTTCATTTTTATGTACTGTTATCTTTACTCTTAACTCAAGATTTGTGGACCAAATTCAGCCCTTCTTAAATTTGAATCCAGTCCTTTTATTAGTTTAGGTTCTCAACAAATTTTGGCCTCCTAGATGCAGCTGTGGTCTGCACTGCAACACCACCAAACCAAAGAGACAAGTGCACAGTCACTGCACACACCTGCGAGCTTACACGCTAACCAACACAGAACGGCACAGCAGGCAATTTCAAAAGGTGGAAGACTCAGAACTTCTTTACCAAGCATCTCTTTGCAAGGTGATCTCTGTGTTCAAAGAACATCATCTGTGTTGTGATTTTGGAAAACTAGAAAATCAATTTTAACTTTTTATTCAAATGTCCTACCCAAGGTTTCGGTTGTAAATTTTAGGCCTACTACACAGGCTATATACAAGAACATAATGGAAAGATGTATTATTTACCTTTGTTATTTTTGGCATTAGTAAAAATACCCATACTCGCATTACTTGTCACTTGCTCATTAGTCACAGGCTGTTACAAAAGTGTTACAAGAAATGAAAGCCTGTGGAAAAAATGTTTCTGTCTGGCCATTGATGCCATCCACTCGGTTAAACTGTTTGACACCCTTGTTGTAAAGAGGGCAGAAAATGAAGTGGACGATCTTCTTCATAAAGAAGCTCATTGATTTCATGGAGCAGTGATGGCCTCATGCCTGCTCACTGAATGAATGGGCAACAATGAAACATGTCCAAGAATAAAGAAAAAAAGAACAAATGCAGTCCTCAAAGTGATTATAGCTCATTTTCAAAGTTATCCTGTCTATATGCTCTCATGGGCATTTTCAAAAATCTAACTAAACAAAAGCACAAAGCATAGATGGCACATGAACACTGTCACGTAGACATATGGCAGCCAGTGATTATGAAACAGTTACAGCAACAGGAATGAAGTGACAGCACAAGTTTATCATCAAACTTCCTACCTTTTAAATAGCTTCCTCTGTCTGGATAGGAGTGTATAAAGGACCAAGTTAACAAATTGTTTAACAGCTTTGTAAAATAAAGCAGTTAAATAGTAACAACAATAACAAAACAGAACAAAAAAAAAACAACAATTAGAAAGAGAAAAAAGCCTCACCTTTGACTATCAAAAAACTCTTGTAGCTAAAATGGCTTTACAGTGGGAAGAAATCAAACATTTGACACATCTCCTCAAATACAAAATAAAGGCAGAGTTTTTCTATTGTGTATCAGCCACGAGATGTGACTCCACAGTCAATAAATATGATGGTCCCACACACGGCATGAGCTTCTCGACTGATTTCAGTAAAAGTTGTAGTTTTTTATTTTATGTAGTTTATATTTTGCACATTGCTTCAGCCAAGGCTAATGTGCCACGCTAAAAGTCTAACTGATCAGTTTAGCACAGCTTGAAATGACTTTTTCAGTGAAAGAAGGAATCAGTTTTCAGTGTCTGGAGCATCAGCCTTTGTGCATTTAATTATTGTTCAGGGTCAGATCTGTCCTGCTGCTTCTGCACTGGTCCAAGACAGTTAATGTTTCCATATGGAGTAGTATAGGTATAGTATAGTATAGTAGCATATCAGGGTCTTATTTTATTAACTTCTGGCATTGCATTGAGACAACTTTCAGAAAAATGAAATTTGATGGAAGTTATTTTTGTGTGTTCTACTACCTGGTGTTCCTTCCAGCTGATGCCATGGATATATTCAACAAATCAGAAAGTAAAATCACACCAAACCTTTGAGTAATGTATGTTCAAAAACTGACACTTCTAAGTTGTGTGTGTGTGGGGTTTTTTTGTTTGTTTTTTAAAATCTCACTGCCTCAGATCCAATGCTCGTCCATCCAGCTTGTTGTGAGCTGAAAGGCTTGTATTGCATCCCAGTGACATAATGTGAGATTTCCACAGTAACAGAGGAGACATTATTCTGCTGGAGGTCCATCACTCAACACTGAGGCTTTATGAGAGAGTACATGTGTCAGAGTTAGAGACAAGCATAGAGTTTGCAAGTATGCAAGTATTTGTGTTTGTGGGACACATAATTGGTGTAAATGTGGACTGGTGAAACCTGAGCCATCGCGATGCCCTGCAGTGGCTCCACACAGGCAGCTTAGCAGAGAGAATCAGATCACTGACTAAGAAAAGACTTAAAAAAAAAAAAAGCAGGCAAAGATTTCACTCTGCTGAAAACAGATTTTTTTAGTATGTAGTCACATTTTCAATCCAGTAATGCTGCCATACTTTCAGTGACTCAGCTTGTGATCTGTTTACAGTAGGGTGAACAGATCTCAGCATACTAAATGTGGACAAACACATAATTTTAATTTTAATTTAAAAATAAACTGTTATCAGAGTGTCATGTAGCATGTACGGGTGAAAGCTTCTTTTTATATATTGGTGATTCAATACAATAAGGAAAAAAGTTGTCTGAAATTTGTTCTTGGTCTCGTGCAATTGTTTGTTTATACTCCCATATTCTCTTTTTGCATTTTTCTTAGCTTATCTCCTTCCTATTAAGAGTTCTGGGGGTTTAGCTTGGCTGTATGCGCAGATTGGCACCATATCTAACAATTTTAATCCAATGACGACACACATGTCACCTCACACCACACACTTCCCTCCCTGTGCGAAGCTGACAAATTACTCAAGCAAACCATTTTCTCAGAATATACTGCCATTTTCAGTTCAGTTTTACTTTTATAGTGCCTTATTTTCTTTATACTTGTGTATATGGGTAGGGTAGGGATAGCTCAGTAGGTAGAGTGGTGGCCCCATGATCGGAAGGTCGGGGGTTCGACTCCACTGAACGGCTACCCTGAGGTACCCCTGAGGTATCCCTACACACTGCTCCCCGGGCGCTGCATTGGTGGCTGCCCACTGCTTCACTGGGTGAATGGGTTAAATGCAGAGGAACTATTTCCCTATGGGGACTAACACGCACACTTTACACTTTTTACATGGTACTCTCCTTCACATTTGACAAAACAAGCTTGTGATTTCTGGGAATTTGTAACTTTCCCTGATGGGTTTGGCATTAGACAAGATAATCTTCTCCTGACTATGGTTAAAAAGCCTTCACTTGATATACATTGTGTAAAAACCAGAGTTTAGAAATGTGCATGTTCAGCAGAATCAGCCAAAAATTAGGGACATTGTCTCAAGATTTGGAAAAGGGGGACAAGTAATAAAAATGCTGTGCAGTCCCACATAAAGAGGGATATCTTGTCACCTGAGTTCATTGACAGTTTACTTCTTCTCCTCTGAGAACAGCAGTCTGGTCAGTTCTTCTTATTTACCAGTAAGAAGCTATCTTAGTGGTTAAAAAGTATCAAAATATCAAGACACTGTCAAATTGTTGCTACATGCCAACAACTATTATCATCCATATTCTGAGAAAGCTCTGAATAGTATGCACCTCTGGTCAGCTTTCAGTGTGGCTGCCATTTTTAGGAAGTCCCATTATGGCCACTTGTTTGCTTGTAATTTCACTATGAACTTCAAACATGTGGCAATAGCTGGATCTGCAGCTTGACGCAGAGGTTTTAGTGCAAGAGTCCAAAGTTTTCAAGCCTGAAGGTGTAGTCACGACAGGACTATCATGACAATATCCTCACTTTGCAAACGTTTGTCACTTGATCCACAGACAGACCCGTGCTTGTGTTATGCCAAAGAGACAACTGAATGTAAAAGTGAAACTGCTGACTTCTCAGTCCATCTACATTTCCACTCAGCCATGGCCATGACCTCCGGGCAGTGGCCTAAACAATGAAACTCTCCCTTATGCTAATTCCAAACAAATAAATATTTTTAAAACAGAAATTTTCTGCTGTAATTTAAAAAAAGAAAAAAAAACACATTTATTTGAGCAGGTTTTTGAAAATATCTTCACCCACATGAAAACAAGCACACAAAAACACTGCAAAAAAAGAAAAAAGGAGCCAAAGCAACAGGTGGCAAAATAACCCTAACTACAAAAAATCCCAACCAATCAGAACACAAAGAACCACAACACAATGCGCAGCCTGACATTAAGAGAGGAGATAAAGGTGCTCCAAGACAAAACCTTTGTTTTCCAGAATGGAGATTTTTTTTTTCTTATCAGTGGCTACAAACATATTTCACGTGTCAAAACACAGAGGAAAAAGCTACGTTTACCAAATTACCATAAACATGTGGGCATTCCATTTGATCTCTCCAGTCAGAATTTTTTTAAATCCCAGTTGGAATTTTTTACTGGAATGGCCTCTAAAGGTGGAAAGCCAGAGTAGCCCCACCAACTCTGATTTAATTATATAATTATCCAAGACAGCAGTAGCACACGTAGCATTGGTAATTTGTACTGCCACAGCTGTGCATTTGTAACTAACTAAATAAGCCATTAGCAGAGCACTGGCCAGGCTGTACCCATGAACTTGCTGCTTTAAAAAAACACAACAAAACTGAAAACCCGGCACTTGGGTGCACTGCTAGTAATGCATGAACTGCACATGTACTTTGTGGTTTTTTGCAATAAGTACCAGGTTATCTGTATTCTGCATGAACAGCTACAGCCACCATGACTGAACAAGACAAATATAATTCCATGTTTGCAAAACAAAAGACACAAAGAAAAAGCAGCGAAAGAGAATGAAAGGAATGAAAGGAATAAAGGTACCTCTTCCAGCTGGCAGGCCTGAATAACAGAATTGTAGCGGTATTCATCATAGGTCAGGCCAAACAGGATGTTGTCACGAATCATCCCTGGCATAATCCAAGAAGTCTGGGGTGAGAAGGAAATGCGACCACTGTGTCTAATTTTACCCTCTGTTGGCACCAGTTCTCCCAGAATCATCATGAGCAGGGAACTCTGAAGGAAACAGGAGAGCATGGTCACACTTTATTCTTCTTCATCTAACTGTGTTCTCAACTCAAGGAATATGGAGTGAGTCATCATGTTTCTTTCATTGCTCAAGGGAAACTGGCATTTATTGCATGTAATTATTTATGAGCCAATATTAAGCTATTATGACAGTTCTTTAATTTGCATTTATTGTCCATTAAATTAAAATTATTTACCAACATCAATATATTGACAAAAAGCAGAAAGACATATCGGTCAGACTCCAG